ACTAATCAAAAATAAATTTATATTTTTTTACTTATTATTTATGCATGTCACGACTACTTTTTGCTACTGACATACGGACAAAATGAACACCTTTCTCACACCAATATAAAAATATAGTTTGTCTAATGAATAAGAGAGAGTTAACATGCATAATGTATTATTATATATAATACAGTTCTTATGACTTAAGAAGTCTCGATCATTAGGCACATTTATGTCGCCTTCTATATCACAATTGGAGGATTTCACTCTTCCACCTCGTAACTCCTAATAAACAATTATAATCACATCATGTTCATAACCAGAAGTAATCTTTTATCCCTGTATTGACAACACATTTCACATATACTCAAATCTTCATTTATAATTCAAACATCAAACTTGGTCATTTTATAAAATGAACTTAAATCATAAGGCACACTAAGAGACCAAAGTTCCAACTATTCATAAAAAATAGCAGTCATTGCCACAAATCATTGGTACTCACCTTTGAGACACTTATATTATCTCATCCACCATACACAAGAGAATCTCTAATTTAATTTAGTTTCAAGCATATATCCAAACCACACACACACACACACACACACATATATATACAGGTAATCAAACAAGACCAAACATTTTAAGCAAAAAGAGTAATCCACTAGCAAAAGTGCATAACCCCTATACATCGTCTATTAAATCCAAAACTAGACAAAGATCAATGCTAAGAGCAGTTCCAAATCCATGACACCAAATTAAATTACAAGATATTCTCTAATGAGATGGAATCCTTCCTAGGGTTAAATTCCATTTCATTGGATGATGACAACTTGTTCCAAAATTTGTATCGAGGTGAGGATCACAACATGTTATCATTGTTCCTCCAACCAATGAAAGGCAGTGGTGAGCGAGAGAGGCTAAGGCGGCGGTGATGATGGACGTCATACAGAAGGTTTCGCTTCGTCATAGGGTGGAGGAGGCACACGTGTAAAGGTATGGGCAACTGGTCGAATGGAGGACTCTATGACTCTATGTCCTTCCATTCAAGCTCAGAAGTAGGGTTTGGGTCAGTCTCAATAGGGGCTTTAGCTGGGTTACCTGTGGATTAAAGGAAGGTTTATAGTATGAAGGCAATAAAGAAAAACCAGGTGAAGAAAAGGGGATGTGTCACTCCGCCTTCAACAGGGAAATGAAGATCTCAATCAAAGTACTGTCATTCTAAAAAAGGCTTCCAGCCCTCTTCAATCACCGGCCCCACGCCCATGGTGATCATTCTCTTGTAAATGCGTTGATGTGTCTCTAGTTCATAAATCTATATGTTCTCCTCACTGGGTAGGACCCATATCCCCGCTTGATCGGTACACATTTGAAATATGCATCTAAAGTACAAAGGCAAGAAAGGATTCTAGAAAATAAAGTAAAGGGTGTCGTAACTGTGTGATCGCAACGTCACAGCGAAAACATTTTTAAAAAATATTTTTTAAAAAATCAAAAAATTAGAAGAATTGCCACCAAAGTTTATTTAAAAAAAAATTGAAAAAATTTTTAAAATAATATAATCTTTGAAACCAAAAATAAGTTCGAAAGTCGTTTACGTGCAGGAAAGATATTAACATCCTATAACTTTTGTTTAAATAATGGTTACCTTTAATTAATTGTGTAAATTTAGTTTAATTTTGAAAAATATTTATTTAACCCCTAAACAATAATTATTGCTATTTTATTTTTAAAGAAAGAATATTTATTTATTGAAATATTAATTTATATATTAGGAATGAAGAAAATTATTTTTGAAAATTATTTTGACTTGACGAGTTTAGTTTTCACTCATACGTATCCCTAAATGTAATGGAGAACTCAAAGTCACATAGTTCTATCGTAAAAATTCTGAAATTATTTTATTAATCTAAAATTTATAAGATTTTAAAAGAAATATTTTAAAAGAAATTGTTTCAAGATTAATTATACTTCTTTTTTTTTAAAAATAATTTATATCTTTTAGGATACAAGACAGCGCAGCTATATATGTTATCTCACGATAAACGATATGAAAGGCAAAGAAAAATCACATATCTGAATTGTAAGTCATTGCAAAAGAGTGTGGTAATTAAAACAAAATATTTTAATTTATATGAAAATAGTATTTTTAGTGTATATATATATATTTTTTTAATTTCAAATTTGATATGGAAAAATTTAAGATAGCATAAACTATGTATAAATCTCTCATGACTTATTCATCAACCAAAAGCAACTTAAATCACACACTTGTATTCTAAAATATTATATGATAAGATGGAGAAATAAATTTAATTTATTAAAGTTAGAAACATAATTTATTATTATTATCATTTTAAACATAAAACTAATTTTTATTTAATAAAGGGATAAATATTTAGAGAAGAGAATAAATTTATATTACTTAGTAAAGATAATTGTTTAACAAAAATGAGTTATAAATATATATAATTTTAATAATAACTTTATTGTATGAAACTTAAATATTCTTATTATTGTTGTCATTATATTTTTTTTAACAACAAAAAATGAATAAATAAATAAATTTAAAGATATGAATAAAACAAGTAAGATATTTTTAATATATATGTATTTTAAATAAACTAGAAATAAAAAGAAAATAAAAGACAAATTGAAAAAAAAAAAACACTCCCTTTTTTATTATTATTGGACTAGGATAATATTAGCTCATAAACTAAACTCTTTTTTTTCTTATTTGTGTGTATTTGGAGATATAGCTTCAGATTATGTTTTGAGGAAACCTAACCTAAACTCTCCAAAAAAAGAAGCAATAAATAGATACATTAAGGGATGAGCAACCCTAGTAGTCTGAACTGTTAAAACACATTAGAAGTTTTTTTTTTTTCTAAAAATTAAGGTTTCTTAAACAGCAAAGGGAAGAGAGAGGGCGACGTTAGTTTAGGAGCAATGGCTGGCGGCTTGCAACAACTGCAGTGCAGTGATGACAACTTATGATGGTTAAAGCGTGGTGGTTGCAGCAATGGTTTGAGGTCGCGAAAAGAGAAAAGAGAGAGAAGAAGAGAGAAAGAGAGGTGAGATGTGAGAAAGAGTGAGGGAAGGGAGATGATTGAGATAGAGAATGAGAAGAGATACATGTGATAATAGCAAAGACAATAAAGAGCGTAGAGAGATTCACAGCTAAGAACCTTAATTTTTTGTATTCAAACCTTGTTTTGTTTAAATGTTTGGTTTCTTTCTCTTGTTCATCTCTCAATCTTTTGTTTCATTTGCTTCTTTATTTCTCTTGTTGTTTTGTTCTCTTAGTTTTTGTTTTTCTCGTTTCTTCATATTTTTTTCTCTTCTTTCTTCATTTTTACTGTTCTCTCTATATATAGGACTTAGGATTGCTAGATCTTAAGAATGACACTGCAGTGAAGTCAACTTCTGCAATTTCAGCCTTGGGTAAAGGTTTGTAGGCGATGAAAATCGCCAATAACAAGACACTATCTTGTCATCATCTTCTTTTTTTTGAAAAATTATTTATTTTGATTTATTTTATATTTCTTTTTTTTTAATTTTTAATTAAATCTTGATGAGGATAAATCTCATATGAAATTAGGTGTTCATAAAGAGTGAGTCCAAAAATACAAGGAATAATCTACATTGTAATCACTATAAATATACCACAAAATAGAAGTTAGTAAAGCCTTCTGATTTTAACAAGCAAGGCAATCCCACTCAGAATTCACACAACACCACATATATACATGTAAACTTTTAAACGGATGCATGAATGTAATGCATGTCATTCGCATTTTTGTACTTTCTAATTTTATCATCTTTTCAATTAAGGTGGATGGAGATCTTATTCCCTGCTACAATAAGTACAAAGTTGTCATTAGTCTATTCTTTAATCCACGTCATCCTTCAAGAATGGGCCTGCCACGATCTTTGTAATAAATGCCCACGACAAGATTAGTGAGGACTTGCCGGAGACATGACCTAAGTGAACTACTTCACGCTATTGGATCATTTTCCTCACTACCTCCAAGATTATTCCATGAACTCGATAAAACACATTTAGCATATACTAAAATACTGACCCATTAACATGTAGCAAAATATAGAACAAGTAAGTCACAAAAAAAAATTATCAAATTAAGTGAAAAAAGCAAAAAGATTAAGAAAAGATCAAGAAAATATAAAAAATTCCCCCCCCCCTCCCCAATTATTTCTTGTAAGCAATTTTTTTTTTGCAAAATTGAAACCTTACGAGCCTTTAAATTTATTGAAGTCAAATCTTATATTTACTTTTTCACATAAATCCTAATTTTAGTTTTAATCTTGTATTAGCTCTTTCACTTAAATTCTAGTCTTAGTTACAGTGGCATGAGTTTATTCTCAAATCATATATCTATAATTAATTTTTGCTTCAAAGAAAAAAAAAAGCACATTATTCATCAACATTGTAATAAATTCCCCCCCCCCCCCCACAATTATATGTAGTAATAAAATTCATTATTACTATATAACTATATATAAAGTTTGATCTGTCCTGTTTGGACTCAACTTAGATAAAATCATTAAGCGTGATAAAACTTTTAATCAAATATCAATATAGTTACATTTTCAAATTTTGGAAAATTACTTTGTGTACCATTCCATTTTGTTAGTTGCATCATTTTTTTTTTACATATTTTTAGAATTACAATTTGAAAAATGATTTACACATTATCATCTAAAATTAAATTTTTGAAAATAATAAATAAGAATAATGGAATTAAAAATTTTATTTTTTATTCACAACTTGAAGTAAAGATTTGATAGTATAAAAGTAAATCAGAATAATAATAGTAAAAATGAATAACTAGAAAACTACTTGAGCCCAGCCCAACCGTTCTTCATATGCTTGTTTCTTGAGCCCTATTAAATGTTGACCAAACACAAAATAGCCTTATTAAATGTGGAGGCCCAAAGGTTAAAGTCGGAAATGCCTGTCGACAAAATAAAAATAAAGAACCAAAGTGAGATGTCGTATTCCAATGTACAGATTCTACACATTTTAGTTGATGTCGTTTATTTCAGCAAAGGAGTTGAAGGCAAAGCTTAAACCCTTAACGCAATTGTCATCTTGAGGTGCAAGATTCATCATCAGTGCCTGATTCCGAAATCCGAATCAATGGCTGGCCTTATTCGAACGGTTCAAAGAGCTCATAGATGGAAACGAAACTGTTCTTCATCTTGTTCGCTTGTTAAACCCCTAAGAGTGAGAAACGCATTTTCTCATACCTCTGGTTTTGGAACCACAACTTACGCAGAAGAACCTCAAACTGTGACCAAATCGCCTTTTGATTCAAACATCCTACGAATACTGGGAAACGAAATCGAGTACCAATCCGAATACGCTCCTCCATACCAGGTTCCTGACTCTGCTGTAATAAAACTTTTTCACGGATTGTGTAAATTCTTATATTAGTTTATGGTATTGTATTCTAGCATTGTTAGTCTGCGATTTTAAAGATATTCAATAATTTCTAACTTTAATTTTTGTAATTTTTTAAAATATTTTTAAAAAAAAATAATTTTAGTGATGACAATAAAAAGCTTGAAAAAAAAGGATGAACTACTTGTTTGAGAAAGTTATTATAAGAAAAAATAATTGTTTTTCTTTTAAACTCTTTTAAGAAACTTCAAAAGATAAGCAATTTTTTTTAAGAGAAATTAAACTAAATACGCATCAAAACAAATAATTTTGTACAAAATTAGAGACTAACAAAATATTTTTTAAAATTTCAGGAATTAGAGCGCAGGATTCTATCAAGTACTATTTTGAAGATATATTCTTACATAATTATATAATAATTTGATTTTATTCCATTTTACTTATCATTATATCTGAACATTCTACATGGTAACATTGAATTATTAGTCCATGTTTTCCTTAGAATTGATGTGTTATTTTTTTATTTTATGCAGCCTGTGACCGAATTCAATTCGTTTAAGGTTGAAGAGCGACGTGGTGAGCAAGTGGTTATAATTAAGGGGAAGTATGGGGAATGTGAAGATATTAAAATTGAGGCTACTATGTTTGATGGATATGAACATGTTCCTGCGCCTGGTGATGACAGTTCTGGGGTAAATGTGCGTCTTCACCTGAGTTTACTGGTGGATATATCAAAAGGGGAAGGTGGCAGTGACTTAGAATTTGTGTGCTCGGCGTGGCCGGAGTGTTTAGATGTTGTGAAAGTTTACATGTTGAGACGCGGTCAAATGCCGGCTAGGCCTTACCTTGGACCTGATTTCAGGTGTGAATGATGGCCTTGACCATTTCAATTTTGTTCATTGGTTCACTGGCCAAAGCTTTCGTGCTTACCGAATCAGTTACGCTGGTCTGAATTTCATGATAAGAGCTTGTGTGAAAGCCTTATAGCATGTTTAGATTTGTGTTTAAATGTCAATGGATTCATGTTTACTTTAACTTAATTAGTTGGAGCTTCTGCGAATCTGTGTTGAATCTATTTTGACAGGTTTTTTAATTTGTTTCCAAACACACACTTAGCTGTTTTGAAGCTATTTGGTTTCTTGAAGTAGGTTTGCTAATGGTTTTTATGTGTTTTGACTTTTTTATTTCAGGGACTTGAATGCTAAAGTTCAGGAAAAGTTTTATGAATACTTGGATGAGAGGGGAGTAAATAATGAGCTTGCTATTTTCTTACATGAATATATGATGAACAAGGATAGAATTGAACTTCTGCGGTGGATGGATAATCTCAAGTCTTTTGTGGAAAGATAGACTGGTAAGCTAGACATTTGGCAACTAAGAATAGATGTTGACAATAAGTTTTGACATTCTACGGATTAGTTTTTCCAGCAAAAGCTCATTTGATTTGTAGTATTTGGTATTTATTTATTCTTTTGATTGGAAAGCACCTTAAGAATGTTGAGCATTAGGCAGTAAACAATGAGCCCTCTGTTTCTTCTCATGGTTAGATTATATGATGATTGACTGATGAAAAGGATAGAGTAGAACTTCTGAGGTGGATGGATAGAATTTGAAACATGGACAGGTGATCTTGGACTGAGAATTGGTGTGAACACTTCCAAGTTTTGCCATCTTTGGAATTTATTTTTCCTGTAAAAATTCTCTTAATTTGTTGTATTTGCATCGTTTATTTTTTTGTTACAATCATACTTATACTGAAGAATGTTGAGCAATAGGAGTCCTATATGTGCCTTGTGGTTTTGTACACATTTTGTCTTGGAGCCTAAAGTGGAAGAAATTTTGAAAATTATCTGAAAAGTTAGTTACAGCTAACAGCTTAAAAGCGTGAATTTGTAGAACTGATGCCACACCTGTAGAACCGTCATTCAACATGATATTATGAGTAAGGTAAGACCTAAGTTAGCTCCATAACTCCTATCCTTGTGAGTTGTTTGTCTATTTTCCGATTCCCTTGCATTTATGTTGTGTCCACAAACTTTTTTTCATTCTTCGTGGTTTATTTGGTGATATACGGGCATAGTATGTTGTTATTGATCACAAGATGATATATCTTTTAGGTTTTGCTTCATATTTGTGTGCACATGGGGCCTAAAATAAACTATACTTCTACAAAGGTTCCTAATTTGTCTGGATGAATGGTAATTTTTTTTAGACGTAGTTGCTGACTTGAGATTGGGCCGGGTCCACCTTGATATTATTTGTATTTGCTATATGTCTTAGATTGTTATTTTTGTAAGTAAAACGGTATAAGAAAATTTATTGTTAGGTGTTAAATTATAGTCTGAAGCTGAATCCTGCGATAAGTTGGGGTATGGTTTAACGTGAGTTTTCACGAAATGGGTCTAGAGTAACTACGTATCAGCTGAACATTTCTTGGTACACATCTTTCGCCATATTAGACTGACCTATTCTAAGCATTATAGACAAACTATGTTGAATGTAACGTATGGTTTAGTCGATTATTGTCTCCACCGGTGAAGTCTCAAATCTATTTTGCTCTTCTAAAGCGAATAGATATATAAAGTGAGAAAGGGAACGTATATCCACCATTGATTTGAATTTAAGTATTTATAACATATAATTAACTTTTAATTCAAGGTAAATAAATGTTTACTTTTTCACTTTACACGACTCTTCACTTAATAGGAGGCCAATTCTAAATAAAGTAAAATTGATTTTAAGAAGTATTTATCAATCCAGAAAATAAAATGTAGAAAGTTTTTTTTCTTTTGGTTTTGGACAAGTAAATGTTATGATTGATTGCTCGTATTTTACTACACACCAAGATCCATAACTTCGTAATTTTTCATTATTTTAATTAACTTTAGTTATGAAACTATGCCACAACCACCATAACTTTTGTGGTCAAATCGGTTGAATCATCCAATCTATTCTTTTATGACCTGAACCATTGCTTCTACTGGTGCAAATGGTTGTCCATTATCTCTTCTATCAATGAGGCGATGTTTTGAAGATTTAGGCCTTGATGGTTATGCCTCAGCATAGTCAAATGGCTTAGTACACACTGAACTGACTGTACAATATTCTATGATACAATTAGAACCAGCAGGAGTAATGATAAGTACCAACACATGGTATATGATCCTAACGATAGAGCTGCTACGTTCAGTCACAGCTTTTTATAAATAGAACATGCTGTATGAGATTGACCAGGAATCTGTCAAGTTTAATTTCATTTTATGTTCAGTCAGGTTTAGTTTGTAAAAAGCAATATCTTTTTAATATTCAACGGTCTAAAATTTGTAACAATTTGCAAAATATTGTACACGTTTCAATCGTCTTAATTGCTATTAGATATATATTTTCATGTATGCATACTGAACCCTGAATTAGAAGAACACGTTTAATACTCCTTTCAGTCTTATTTGTAAGAAATAATTATTAATATTATTTTAGTCCAAATTATAAGAAACAACTATTTTTAGATGTATTAATTACTAAATTCTTTCTATATCCTTGTTTATTGCAAGAATAGTGTTAACAAGTTATATACTCATTACCTATATATTCGTTTAATGTATAAGTTATCAATTTAACCATTTATTATTATAAATATTTTTAAAATATACTATTTTTTTAATTAATGTTGATAAATATTTATTTGTTTCTTATAAAAAAAAGGTTGGAAAAGAGTATAAACAATGTATGATGATGTAGCCCAAATGAGTATCTGTTCGCAGATCTGACTAAGATGCGTGAATATGGATTGAGAGATACAGAGTTACATATACTAAAGTCATAAATGGAAACGTGTTTTCTGATTTTCTCAAAAGCCGGTATATGGTGTACCCCCTCAACTATCAGAGCCATCTTGCTAACCAATTCATGGCATTGTGGATTGATGCTTCGCTTCGCAGAGGGATCAAAGTTATTTTGTATCAATAAGTTTCAACTGTTAATTCGTTATAATATCCATATACAGATTCAATTTTGAACTAGTTATAGACAAGAAATTATAGCTGAATGCCTCATCCATTACGTCATCACGATATTAGCCTCTGTCTAATGTATTAATAGTATGAAATATTTTCTATGCTTTTCAAGAAAATGGTCTTTCAATCCATTAAGTAAAAAGGGGTAGGTAAAATGTACAAAGACAATCCATTATAATATTTTCATGCATGGACACACACTCAACTGAAAAAAAAAATGTAACCCTTAGCAAATGGGTTTTAAATTTTTAATGAGAAATATGAAGATTACCTTTCAATAATGTGATTATTCTACGTTGGTGCATTTTCATACTTCTGTTCCAATACTGTCCTTTCTAGCTTTTCTTCATCCTGTGCTTGCATGATTGATATATTACACATTGTAATGTAAAATCAAGGAGCTGAAGTGACAGATCAATTCAGCATTTATATGCATTTGATATGTCAATTTTCTCTTGGACCATTATGCTTTGATTAAGCCTATAATGCCATAAATGGTCACGCATACACGTGTCCACAAGTTACAACAACGCATGTGAGCAACAAGCAAAGGAAACAAAATAAATGAGGACGCAAATTACCGGAATTTAACTGTGGTAGCTAAAAGTGAGATTTCATAGTGGTAGACTTTGTGCCTTAGATCATAAAATTGAACTACAACACAAGCAACCACTTTGGGAGCATTTCCACCCATATTCTATTCATGACAGTCATCTACAACTTGCAAGGCAACCTTACACAGATATTCATTCTTCGGTTGTCAAAGATTAAACAAACTACATGGTGTGTATTCGAAAATACATTAAAAATTACTGTAAACGTGGATCTACAGGCTTCTCAAGATGAAACCAAACATGCTATTTGAGTGCTTGTATGCATGCATGAAAAGAATTACTTAAATTTTTTATCATAAGCTGTTTTGTGATATTTCATAATAAGCTAATCCATGGTCGGCAATGTGGTTATAAATGGCATTGATAGACTAATAATTAAGATTGCCTGCTTGAAAGTCAGGGAAATATTTCCATATAGACTTGTATTATTCGTATATACACATTTTATAGCGTTATTTTACAATTCATTTTTTCCTCTATACTGTATTCTATCATATCACCAATTTTATCTTATTACTCTCTCCTGTCTCTCTCTCTCTCTCTCACAACTATAAAAAAAAATGTTGCACAAAGTGTTGTATAATATAATTATCATTCACGCATTCATTGCATGAAGCATTTTGCAAATATACAATCCTGCTTCTACACAGTCCTAATAAATTCGTTTGTGTCAATGCTGGGTCACCATCAAGCCTTATAAGATGGAGATACCAAGATGCAGGTCACCATGTTAAGAACCCTATTCATAGCATCACCAATGCTCGTATAAGTTTGGTCAGTGCATATCAAATATTTTAATGAATGGCTTCTACAATATGGAGCAGTTTCTGAATCGTAGTCTTGATGTTGACTCCTCAACAAGGCAGTCGCCAATAATAAGAGTGTGATAAAATAGATCGAGGTCAAAATTATATGCTAGAAAGTTCATTAAATGGAAACCACTTTGAAATGAAATATGAGCTCAACGCAAACAATTATCGAATTTGAGTCACCAATTTAATTAGACATCGAGCTTGTTTATTCATGAACAAGAGCTTCCCCAACATACATTCAATCATTACCTAAATTTTGTAGATAATGGATCCACGTCCTCTCTTGTGCCACTCTAGCTTCCTAATCTGCTGAATGTAACCAATCGCTTTATTTTACATATCAAACTAAAATATTTTACTCAATGAAAAAAAAAGGTCTTACTATCTGGTACTCTAAAAATATTGATTAAGAATTTAAAAACAATTTTTTTTATGAAAAATCATGTTAGGAAATACATTGAAAAAAAAAGAAAAATACATTAATAATATTTTTTAAGCTTAATTGTACTTGCAAGTCCTTTTTTAATCTCTTTAGTTTTAATTGTTCATATTTAATACGTCTAATTTTTCAAGTGTCAAATTAAGTATTTCAAAATAAAATAATTTTTTTATTATATTTTATATATTTAATTTTATACTTTTATTTAAATATTTTTATATTATTTTCTTTATTTTTTAATTATTATCCTAACAGCACTGGTTAACGTATACCATAAAATAAAGATCAACTACCCCTTGTAGAACTTGTGACTTAAAATTTCAATAATCAAAATGGAAGACACGAATTAATATAGAAGACTAAAGGGCAATGAACATGACTCACGCTTTATCAGGCCTGTATTTCTTAGAGATATAATTTAAAATACATAAATATTAGTAATATATTCTTTGAAACATAATTTTTAACACACTTTTTGTAGTTGATATATTTTTAAAAATGTTAAATCACTTATTTTATAAATTAATTTATTTTTAAAATTTATATTGACTTTTGAAAAATTAATAAAATATAAAAAAAATGTGTTAAGAAGTATGCTAAAAGAAATATTGCTCTATCTATCTAAGCTCTCTGGTCTTGATACTTTCTTTGATATAAATGTAGCTTCCTCTGCATGAAAACATGAAGGGTAGCAAATTTTGTAATTACTTTATTTTATTATTTTATGTCATTTATAATAGATTGAATCTACTCATGAATATCCCTCGATAAACGGTTAGTAATATTTAGTTATTTTGATTCCATTTAATAATCGCTATATTCTTAGCTGTCAGTAATAATTATTGACGAGGACGATGACCAAATGTTTTGACAAATATTTAACTGTTGGCTATCTGTCAGCAATATATATTGTATATTAATGGACTCTAGTCATTAACATTGACTTTTGGCTATCTGTAATATCATATTTTGTTGTAGTGAAAAGGGCAAAGGTTTACAAGAATAAAGAAATTATATTGAAGATGCATTAATCAACATGTATAGACAATAAAAAATGGAGTCTTTATGGGCTAATCAACATGTAAATACACCATCACCAACAAAAACAATTTGATTACGTAAAAATAATACATCTAAAATGATAACATGCACACCAAATCCCTTAAATAAACGCAAGAGGTGGGTACCTTTATAATGGAAAACATCATGTGAGTCCTCATACACCCCCCATAAACTGTTAGAGAGCAAATCAGTCTAAATCATAGGCTTCTTTCACTTCCTTCTTAGGTCTTGGCACGGTTGGGAAAATGTAGTCATGACTCATGAGGAATAAAGTTTATATGTGAATAACATCAGAAGGCAACTAAATTAATTAAGGGAAAGGGGTCATCTAAGAAGATGAAATTGGAGAGAAGAGAAGCTTTCCTCCATTGTATTAATTTTCTTCCAAGGGATAGGATTTGGTTCTCAAATTTCCAACTCAAGCTCAAATCTTCAAGATTTTCTTTTTACTTGGTCATCTTCTAAGAAACTACTTTAAAATAACGAGAATCAAGATCCATACTCAAAAGTTGAAGAACAACGGATTTGAGATATAAATAAAAGGGAGATTTGAGCATTTAAAGGTTTACATTTGTTTAACTTGATATTTACCTTTCAATAATTAATTTCTTACTCAATCTCTAGTTTTTGGCCTAATTTTGAATTTCTAATTCCTATCTTGTTACCTTTACCCTATGTTTGGATGAGGCATTAAAAATGGTAATAAAAAAAAAAGAATTGCTTCAATTGAATTGTTAGCATTTTTCAGAAATTTCTAGTTTGGATATACTTTCTTTCATAAAATTTCCAAGCACAGCCTATTTTACTCTCTTCTTCGGCAACCTTTAGTACCTCAACTCTTCGTTTCCGGCATCGCAATTTCAATGCTGCAATATTCCCTTTGGCCACCGTCAACCTCCCTAAGCTCTACCTATAGCATGAGTGAGTTTTGAAAATTATACCTAATTTTGAAAAACCCTTCACTAATTGATTAGTAATCTTTTGATCATGAAAATTATTGTTCCAACAATTCCATAACTCCAAAATTTCCTCAACACTCGTTACATCATCACACTTAAATGTCAACGATTTAAATTATGTCTTAAAATTCGCAAACCTCACACTCCTCAAACAATCGATTGCATTACTGTTAGAACCAAAAAGATTGAACAGAATGGGGGGTGAGCAGCTTAGCAAGCTCAACATCAATGTCGAGATGGAGAAGCTGTGGTTGTCAATAATTGCTCTGCTCCTACCTGTTTGACTGATATCCTTAGTTGTTTATTGTTTTGACTGTACATTATGGTTCAACATTGTCTCATTTTTTCCTCGTCGATTGTCCTTTTCGGTGGCAAATCAAGGATTTGGTTTCTCTATTTGAGATTTTGGAGCACGATTTATATGTCAAATTTATAAATAAGAAATGATGCGCATAATTGTTACATGTGATTAGGATGATACATAAGCACGGATAGTATGATAATAAAATTTAACTTTAAATAATGTAATTTTTAAAAAATTAATATTATAACAAATGTGCTTAATATATGTAATTTAATTAAAAGAGACTTATAAATAACCTCAAAGAGAATAATAAATTTTTATTGAGAAAAAATATTTATTATACTTTAATATTTTTATATAATAAATACTGTTTTGTACCTTGTTGGTGTGAAAGACTAGTACTATTTCGGTAAAGATGCTTTACGAGAACTAGGATGAACAGGTGGAGTTCCTGCGAGGAAAACTCAAGTTAAAAGGGGTTCAAGGGAGTATAATGTGTGTAAAGCAAGAATTATATAACATACTTGAAGCTTGAAGTATCTTCCTTTGTACAAGCGTTGTTTTACCCTTTTACTTGAGTTGTTATCATTGAGTTGGTGTAAACAAGTGGGTAAAAGCTACACAGCAGCGGATTTATTGGGCATGAGTTGCAGTTCACAACATGTTTTGAGCGGTTTTGACCCATTCCAAGTGATGTCTATGCCTTCTTGTATGTCAGGGGTTTTAGTGTGCAAATTGTATGTTAATAGAACATATAATGTGAGGGTCTGAAGTGCTTATCTGATCTTTGGTATTACCCCTGATCAAATATTTATTAATCTTTGGTGTCGATTAGCTATACTTTGCTTTGTATATCAGACTAAAAGATAAAAAAAGTTAGTCTTGTGTCCGGACAGCAGCAGATAAAACAAGAGGAAAGGAAGAGAAAAAAAGGGTTGGAAATGAAGCATGTGAAAATCACTTTGTACTATGTGGTTAGCTTAAACAGTGTTAATGGGACAGCAAGCTTTGATGACTAACAACCACGTTTGCTAATTATTATTTAAACGACAAGGCCTTGTCGTTATTACAGTGGAGTTGTGGTGTTGCTATATAAAAATGTTATTATACTTTTAAGACATAAACACACGAATCTCTCCTAGATTTGAGGCCACTGTATGATTGTGACCTAGTATACATGAACTTCAGAGAGGACAAAAATGCCTTCCTATGCTAAAATCAATATAATAGAGCAAGTCTTATTCTATACTCCATGTGTGGACAAACAAATTATCTATTTTCTTTTATAAGATATTATATATATGTTCATAATGTTATCCGGTTCCCAACCCCCAGTTAGGTCTTTGTTATAATGAGAATTTAAATATTTATAAATGTGGTCACTTTGTCGTTGGCCACTGCCCTTCGTACACATTGTATCGGAATCTTTTTGTCCCAGAAGAGGAATAACCCCTAAATAATATATTTTTTTAAGAAAATAGAATTTTCATTTTCTTAATTGATAATAGTGCCCGTTTGAAATGCATTATGAAATCTACTTTGAATTCTTTTTTTGAAGCATTTTTCAATATATTGCACAAATTAATTAAATTAATTAATTAATTGATTTTAAAAAAAATTAAATACATACTAATTTTATCTTTATTTAAAATCATTTAATTTAATCATACCATCAATATTTTAATTTAAAGAATATTGATTTTAATTTATGGTTTTCAATACATTTATTTATCAAGAATAAAAAATTTAAATAAATACTTCAAAAATTATGAAATACTTATAATAAAGATTACGAAAACCTTTTAAATAATGTCTCTTATAAAAAAAATCAGAAGAGTGTTGGAGCAATGAATTGTGCTTTCATAAATTAATGATCATAAATGCTTCTTCTAAGTATTGGATCAGGACCATATTTTGAAAATAACTTGATAGTAGTCGGTTGCAGATTTATATAACATAGCATGGGGCATGAAATATTGCTCTTGAATTTCTGATCCTAAATTTCTTGAAGAGAATAGGAATTCATTCTATTTTCCATAATCTTTCACAGATTAAATTTTAAATGGGGATGATTTTGGACGGACAAATTTGGTTTATGAAAATGAAATAGATGTAGCAGATTCTAATTCAGTCTTGATACTGATCAGCAAGAGTTATAGCCACTTTTAGGATCTTAAAAACCCCTTCATCAGATTTATTGACAAATTAGGGAGAAAAAAAATCCCGGCAAGAAAAAGACTCAACAAACCTTAAAATTTCACCTCAATAAGGCACCTGACCTAACTGGAGTTGAATGATTCTGAAGTCATATACAAAAAAAGAACCTTGAACTTTGATCCTCCGATAAATAAATATACACAAATGTTATTTCACACGGTGAGAAAAATATATAAGTTTGGCAAAATCTTAACTATACTGATCTAGAATTACTCATAATCAAATACTATAAAAAAAACAAACCAAGCCCAAAATGTTGTTCAGAGCTTGAGGGATAAATCAAGGTGCTTCATTTCATCTTGATTATTAGTACTCTTCACCCGAGTTCCACCACTAACAACCACATATCCACTGATATCTTTATTGGCTGCAGAATTAATCATAGGACTAACCACTTCAAACCTGCCAACACTGTTTTGTGATGGTGATGACAATGTTGATTTTGTCCTGTGAAAATCTGCCACACCAGCTAGCTTTGCTATGCCAGGTTGATGATCAATAATGGGTCTTGACCAACCATGATGATGGTATCCATAAGAGCTTCCAAACCCATTAACATGAGAAGGCTTGTGGATCATGGAGTGTGCTTGAATCCCAAGAGATCTATTGTTGCAAGCACCATAAAGGGGGAGAGAAGCCATGCTTGCAAAGCGATTGTTATGCACAAAGGGAAGGCCAAAAGCTGCTGCTGAAGCCATTAACTGTGTTCCAAACCTGTGCCCTCTTTTTGCTATGGACCTTTCTCTCTTGTGTGCATTTTGGTGGCCCCCTAGAGCTTGTGAACTGTAGAATTTTCTATGGCAGTAGTTGCAAGAGAACACTCTTGGCTCAGCATCAGATCCACCGAGAGGGGTTTCTGATGAATTAGCATTAGATGATGATGATCCCATGTCTAAACAAGTGATGAGGTTGAGTTCTAGTCCTTGTGGACTACAACCAAGAGTGTAATCATCACCAGAAACATTCAGATCCAATAGGGTATTGTGCTTTGTCTCCTTTTCTTCCTCTTCTTCCTCGAGAGATTGTTGTTTCTTTTCATGTGGATTCTGAAGTGGGGTACTTGGACTTGGAGGAGCCTCTGGAATAGAAGAGAGCATGATGCTTGATCTGTCACAAAGGTATGGCTCCTTGCTTAGTCCTTCCATATCAGAGTACTTCCTCTCTCGTCCCCTTGTTGGTAGGTTAAGGAATTTTAGTTTGTTGAATCTTGACCTTTTAAGTGGATAAAGTAGTATATATTGGAGAGAGACAAATGCCTTATTCCTATTATTAATTATACTATATATGGCTATGGAATGACCATTCTAAGCTAAAGTGTTTGTGTTGTTAAAATAGTACTGAGAAATCCTAATATCACACTTTCAAACACACTTTATGAATAAGCTGTATTGAAAGAGAGTTATACACATCATTTGGCGAGTTTTAACAGATTTTAGTTAATAATAGTGTATTCGTATCATAATAGTAACTATAGTATAGTTGAAAAATATTTTGTAAACAAACAAAATAGATAATTAATGCTTGTTCTCTTTGGTTTTAATAATTTTGAAATACAGGATAAAAAAAGAAAAGTAAATAATTACAACATAAAATTATTTTTTAAATGTTTAAATTAACAAAATTATAGTATAATTTTCATGAGAAAAACTAATGGGGATTATGCAATTTTGACTTTGATTGAAAGTCCTGTGCATAACCCATGTGGCTGGGTGCATAGACGCATATCCCATTGTGTAATATAGTGGGCCATATGGGTGTGTGTGTGTGTGTGTGTGTGTGTGTGTGTGTGTGTGAAGGAATTATATCTGCATAAAATGTATGGTTTCGTATGAGCCCATGTCTCTATTATCTGGCCATGCATAGACCCCTTGTGGGAACATTGCTTTGTTAGTATTGGAAACCAGCAATAAGGTACCGTTTGGACTTTGGCCTTTGGGCACAACAAAGACCAGAAGGAAATTATCAAGTGTTACCATCACGCGCGCCTTAAAAGTACCTTAATCATATCATATTCACATAGGAGACAAAGCCGAACATTGTCCATGTATACCAAAGTCACCAAACAAACTTTCCTTAGTACTTGAAAGTCCATCAACAAGGCCACCTTGTCCCCAGTTGTTGCAAGATTGTCCCATTTTCCATCCAGTTGTTGCAAGATTGTCCCTTCGTTTTCTAGTTACAAGTAACGCTTTTGTATCTATATCTACACACTTTACTTTAGGTTTAAACGAAAATAAGTTGTGAAATTACAATGAATACTCCATTTGCATAAAATCATTGTTTATGTCGAAAGATGAACCTATCTTTCCACGAAAATGATTCTAAAATATTCCATCTTTACCATTTTTTATCCTTGTGATCTATTTGATCACTTATGAGATGTAACAATATTCTAATTCTAATGCATCCAAAATTGACCACTTATGAAAACTCATTAACAATCTAATGCTTATGAATGAGTAAATACTTCTTTCAACAATCAACATTGTAGCTATCTTTGCAACTAATGAGACTGAATTTAAGTGTAACTTTTTAATTTAAATACACTTAATATTATTTTTTATTATCATTAATTGAAATTTTGTATCAATAATTTGCAGTACTTTCAATACTAGTTTTTATGATGAAATTATTAAAATAAACTGTAATAATAATAATGTACAAATTAAACATGGTGCATGAGCTAGCAATAAAATAATTTGAAGGCGGTGAAAAGAAAGTAGCTATAAAGGTGGGGGAAGAAATCCTATGTGATGTGTCCAATAGTGGCAGAAGGGACAAATGGCCGACAATTAAAAGAGGAAACTGATGTGGAGTCCCTCTAATGCCCTTGATAGTGGTATTTGGAATCAAGTTTCATTATTATTAATTAAGAGGATCATATCTCCAAGTTAAACTATTGGATTAGGTGTATAACTTTGGCTTTTGCGTGTATATAATACTAATAATTGTTACCATATTCTCAAGTCATTTTTGGCAACTTTGATTAGCAAAAGGCCTAACCCCACCTTAAAGGGTCATGAGTGAGTTTTGTAATTTTAAACTGATTAATCTCGTTGGACAAACAACTCAATGACTCCATGTTAGTATATTGTTAGTTGTCTAATCAATACATAGAACCAAATCTCTTTAAGAGATTTCTCTGTCTGTCTAAATAGGTCCACATTTGAAAGTCCCTCGAAAAAGAAAATCACAAAGTTCCAATCCATCAATAAAAGATATCTTTAGGATCCACATGAAAGTACTGGATTGAAGACAACTACAAAGCCTTTTCGTTCCTCGAATCATCTGTGATTATTGATATGTTGAATTGGATTCCCCCTATTTTTAAAATTCATTTTTGGTTAACTTTAATCAAATTTTATACTTTATCACTTGTTTAATTTAATTCTGAATTTAAATCTCATTCTATTCAATCCAAAACTTAACCCAATTGAATTAAAAAAAAAACATTTTTAATCTGTTTAGTTCAATTTATAAAGAATCAAATCATATTATGAAAAATCTTACTATGTAGGTAATAATAAAATCAAATAATGGAAGATGTTGAAAATTCTCTCGCTCCCTCTTTGACACAAACATAATGCTGATAATGACAAATGAAAACATGGGTGGCTGGGCCTTGATTGTCACGTACACGAGTTACAGATAACCCTAACATCGTCTTCACTTTCGCAGTATAACGTGCTTTTTCTTTCTTTCAATCTTTAATTTTCTGCATCATCTCACGCTCGGCTCCCTTTCACACGCTTCCAAAAAGTCGTTTTCCAAAACCCAGTTTGCTTTCTTTTCTGCATGCAAGTTGTGTGCTACTTACGACCATATGAATATATGAATCTAAAACAAACATTTCTTTAAAGAGTTTCAAACATGGAGGCAAACGTTGATACACAAGTACAATGTATACAAGAAATATTTTTTTATTAATTTAAAACTACCACGCGTCCATAAATTGATATGTCACTAAGTTTTAATATTTTTCATAAATTAAAATACTTAATCACTTATGGTACTAATCAATTTTGCTCATATTTCCCTGCATTACATGGACCACATTGTCCTTGACCTTGGTTACTTTCAGCTTGTGACAAGAAGAAGCATGTAGTTTGAGTTCAATTTCTATGATTTCTTCTTGTGTGTTATCTTTGTACGTAAATATTAATTGATAGAGCACTCTCTAACATGGACCGTGACAACCATCCTTTCACCTTAAATATTCTGTGACCCAAAAAAATTTACTAAAAACGGTTTCCCATTATCTGAGTATACGACAATGGAATGCCACTGTTCATGGAACTGGAAACGACAACTTTATGTTGCTGGTTGATGATGTCAATGAATAAATATAATGAATTAAGGCCTAGTCAACTGGTTGACACCCTCAAACCAAACTGCAATGAATTTTTGGCTCATGTCAGTGGGTGCCCTCCACTTGCTTTTATTTATCTCTTAGTTCATTTTATTTTCCTTGTTTGTTTTTTAAGCTTAGCCTCTGTTTATTTCAAAATTAAAAAAAATACTTCTTTTTTCTAATCACATATTTCTTTTACCGAAATTACTTTTTTATTCAAATAAAATAAAATTATTATAGATGATAAACTTTTCATTTTAAATATTTAATTTGACTATATTTATTGAGACTCAAATTCAAAATTATAGATTTAACTGGAAAAATGTTAAATGTCTAGTGACTTACTTATATATATATCGTTTAATGAAAGATAAAAATTTCAATGTATATGATTTAGTTATAGGTAACAATTGAAAATTAATTGCATTAAAATAATTATATTTTAAATTAAACAAATACTTAATTTGTAATTAAAAAAAATCGATCAACGCAAAAAAGAGAACATTGAGAATTCAATTCTACCATCTGCCCGATTATAATGAACCTGTTCCATCAAAAGACTTGGTTTAATTCGGGTGACAATTTCAATTAAAAAAAAAAGTGTTTAAGGCATTGTTTTCATGTGACAATTTCATGAGCAACAAGTGATGGTATTCATTAATTAATTACAGCAAAAAATCACATTTAAATAATGAAGTGAAACAGTATAATCACAATCCAATATAATAAAAAAAAAAACTGATAGTATGACATAATAGTTGTAAGTGGTACTAATTACAAACATCAGTTATTAAAAAAAAATTTAGATTCTCCTCATCCTCTTTAAATGGGGTACTGTATATCTCTTCTCTCTAAAATTTTTGCAACAAAAATAAAATGTTTTTAATAATTTATAATTTTTATTTGGTATATCATTTTTACTTTTTTTTTAAAAAATGAATCTCTTTTAAACATCTTTCTTTATAAAATTTTTTGTTAAATTTTATTAATTTTGTTGTTAAGTATAATTTTTAATTGGATCTTTTAAATTAGTATCACATTTGTTTTAATATTAAGAGATCAGATTAAAAAAAACTTTCATAATATTTAAACAAATCAAATAAATAATAAGATAGGCAAAAGTAACATCTAAGAATTAAAAAAAATTATATAAGAAAATAATTATCTAAACACAACTGCAAATTTTAGTGATTAAAATATTAATTAAAATAAATTTTAAAATAATAATAATAAAACACAATACATGCATGTTGTAGCAATGACATGTGTTAGTCACTGTTGAAATTGTTTTTCTGCATTTCTCACTAATTTTTATGGAGGTAATGACAATGATACTTGTCGATTATTTTAATTTGCTTCCTTCGAATTCTTCTATTAGATTTGAGACATCTCGGGTTTTAATTAATCACACTGGATCAACATGTTACCTATTATTAAACTACATCAATATAAGTTATATTTATTTTTTCAGTATTTAATAATTTTTATTATGTGATTTATCAAAAATTAACCATTAAATTAAAAGTTTCTATCATATAAATTATGTTTTCATAATTTTAAATTAATCTAAAACTATTTCATAAATTATGCATATTAAAATTAATAATATGTATATTTGTAATATATAAAAAAAATATTTTAATTATTTTTTATAATTTTTTAATTTTAACAAGTCTGACATAAATAATTACATATATATATAATAATAATTTTAAAAATATCCAAATCCTCGTTGTCACATTAATTATCTAAATTATTATAAACTTTAATTATCCACTAATCAAATTTGAAACATCTAGTGTTATGATACATAAATATTCATATATCATAAATTCGAAAATATTTTAATCTTAATTTTAAGCCTGTGCATTTATAAAACTATTGCTTATTATTTCAAGAGGTGGTAATCTCTTAGCCA